TCTCATTATCATTTACAAACTACATTTTCACAACTTAATTTTCTAAGACCTTGTGTAGTCCAAACACCATATCTAGAGATATACATATGATATCAAGTTGATATTAATTTTCTTAGAAATCTAAGACAATTTTCTACAACTTATATGTTGACCATAGGAGCTAATTAGGTCATGTACTATTTTAAAAAAATACAAAATCTTAACGTTTCAACCTAAATCTAACAGTTTGACCTTCACTCATTAATTTGATCATAATTATAGTTCTTAACCTTTTTTTTAGGCGATTCCAACAAAATTTGAAAACTAATACCTACAGCTACAATTCTTATGAAGATCACAAAACCTAATTCTAACAATATCATGCCCGATGCGGTGATTATTGTGCTCAACGTGGGGAGGACTACAACCTCTCTATCACACTTGTGCCCATTGTGACTAAGGTCACACCTAGTGCCAAAACTCACAAGGACAACATCAAATGGGGCCCGGTGCAGCCCATTTGTCATTTGACACAATATTAGCTCGCAAGAGACTTACGAACTATGCGAAAGTCACACAATACGAACCAAAACCCTAAAACTCCAAACCAATTGGTAAAAATCAGGATTAAAGCTTAGTACCACTCCATTATACCATCAATTACTCAAATTCAACCTCAATTTCAAATATTCATGCAATTAACATCAATCTTCATATTGCTCTATAAACAATGTTTTCCTACAAGAACTACAAACAATCCAAAATCATGCAATTATAGGTCAAAGTTGAAAATTGCAATCATATACATATAGTTGACATCAATTAGAACATACAAGAAGAAATAGAAAAGATAAAGGCACATTTGGAAAAACTCCTCACACACATGACGTACACCAAATACAACATAGAAGGGATTAGAGGTCAATCCCATTACACATATATCTCACGTCCAGAGCGAGACTACTCATTTTTCTCTTACCTCAATAAACGTTTGATGAAAGACGTGGATCTCTGAAGTGTTCTCCTACGAGCTCTAACTCTCCTTCCCGTTCTTCAGAGCATATGCATAATGTGGAAAAGGAGAAGCATAAAAAAATAAAATTATCATAATCCCCTTTTTAAAACTTAATCCTTCAGTAAAAGTACTTTAATAATAATTTTCTTTTCCTTTCCCTCAAATATTAAAATTTATAAATAAATAATATATCAAATAAATATATTTCTCCCAACCCAAATAATAATAACAAAATACAATAATTATATAACTACATAATATATAAAATAAATATATTTCTTCCAACATACTTATAATTAAAATAAAGAATATAAACAATTAAAATAAAAACACACATTTTTCTCTAAAATACATATTATAACAAAATATCAAAAAAATACATATTTCTCTAATGAATATTATACAAAACAATTTTTGTAAATATTTATTATTTCATTAAAAATACTCAAAATTATTAAAAGCCTCTAAAATATTTTATAAAATTCCTTTAATTAATCAAAATATCATTTTAATAATTTTTTAGAAAATTTGGGGTGTTACAACATGCAACTCCAATTGATCGGAATCATCAAATTCTCACACCAGTGATGCTTCACAAACAACCAACTTGATTATATCTATTCAATCCTAAACCAAACGACATACTGCAAGTAAATGAAGATTAAATCAACATGCAACTCATTTGAATTCAACAAAAGCACCATTATTAACTTCCTTTTACCTTGAAACCAAAGTGAAACGAGGCAAATAGGAAGAACTCTAAAACACCCACACAGATCCACAACAAAGTGACTCAAGTTCCTACTTCCTAATGACCTAAAATTAACAACAATACAACACAAATGAGGCTCTAGGGGGAGGATTTCCATCATAAGAGGAGAGGTGGGGATAAAGAGAACTTACAGTTCTAAAGCTTATCTCTCTGGTTCATTTCATTAGATTTCTAAAGACTTAAACTTATGAAACTCAATTCTAAACAGAAACATCAAAAACTACCTTTGCTAGGGTCATATTGGACCTCTATTCAGAGAAACCCCAAAAACTACCTAAACTATTAAGAAATCCTCTAACTACAAAATTTCTCGACACAAAACAACAACTTAACACAACATCACATAATTAATTAAAAACAATAGCAAACTTCTAAGACCCACAATGTTATAAAATTTCAACGATCCGACCAATTAATTAAAATTTCTTAATGTATAAACCAAGTCTGTAAAGTTTTAAAAAAACTTGAAAACTATTTGATATTATGTTTTATTAGTCCAAATCAACATATAAAATATTTTTATGATTATCTATCAATTTGAATTAATAAAACATTTTATCAAAATTTTTAAAACTTTGCAAAGTTGATTTATATATTGAGAAAATTTAATTTAACGATTTGATCATTAAAATTTAATGTAAAATATAAGTTATTGAGTGAAGTAAATTTAGGTAAATTTACTCTTACAATAAATGAATCCCTTCTCTCTATATATATATATATATGTATGTATGTATGTATGTATGTATGTATGTATGTAGAGAGAGAGAGAAAAGAAGGGGAGGGGGAGGGAAACACAAAAATCCTATATCTTTAATAACTTTTTGTGTGATGTAAATTTAAATCATCCAACTATTGAATTATTTGATATTATACTCAGAATAATGTATATCAAAATTCACATAATTTGAACTTTTCTAGATATGTTTTCAAAAATAGATATTTACACATATTTTAAATATCAAATTATAATTTAAAATAAAGGAATATGATGAATTACTAAATAATTTTTTAGTCATGTAATATTTGATATAAATTATCTTAAGTATAATATCACATCATTTAATAATTTGATTAGTTAAATTTACATTATATAAAAAAGTAATCTCTCTCTTTATACACACACATACACACACACACACATATATATATAAAGAGGGATTCACTTATTTCATTCAATAACTCAAATTTCAATAATTTAATAGTTAAATTAAAATTCTTAATGCATAGCTCAAGGTTACATATTTTAAAAAAATTTGATAGTTAGTTGATATTTCATTTCATTAATGCAAATTAATGAATAATTATAAAAATATTTTATTTACTGATTTGAATCTATATAAGAAAATATATTTTAATTTAAAAAAAATTATAAACTTAATTTATACATAAAACCTTTAATTTAACTATTAAATCATTAAAATTTGATGTAGAATATAAATTTTTAGATAAAATATATGAAACACTAATACATGAACTAACTTAAAAAAATTCATATTGGAAGTTGAACTTTAAAATAGTCGTTGATTGGATCTAATTAAATTTATCAAATTGATAATTATATTAACTTAGTGCTTAATGAGACTGTAATATTAACTTCCACATGTCCTTAATTATATTTTTAATTATTAACTAGATATCAATTAAGGTTGAAAAATTAAAAATAATATTTATAAAAAAATTACCAATATTAGTTTTTTCTTCCATAAATCTTAAATACTATTAAGTTTTATTACTAATAATTAGTATTCAACCAAAAATATTTTCATAATATAGATGTTAAAATGATGATGATATATTTATTATTTTTATTTTTATTAGTTTTCAACCACAAATAGGGATGGCAATGGGGCCCCATGGGGGCGGGTAATAGTAAACCCGCCCCCGCCCCGTTAGATGAAAATTAGCCCCGTACCCACCCCATATCCGCACGGGTATCTATTAAGCGAGTATCCATGAATTTCTTGAATACCTACGGATATCCGTGGATATCCATGGATATCCATGGATATTTATAAATTTTGTAAAAAATTAAAAAAATTATATTATAAATAATTTTAAGTTTATATTTAATATCATTGAAATATTAAAAAATAAAAAATTAATGTTAATTTTGAACTTGTATTTAACGTTAATTTTGTTGAAATAATAATAAAAATGCAAGATAATCAATAATTTAAAATACATCAATCTCACAAGTAAGTTAAAGTCTCATCACAAAGCTACAATAACTCAGTCTCATAATTTTAAACGAAAGTAAACAACTTAAAATACATTAGTTCAATCAAAGCTAGAAAATTAATCAAATTACATCCAACATAATTCTATAACATGCTTAACACATGTTGGTAACTTCATCAGCCTCACTTTTGTAAGAAAATAAGAAGAGAGAGTGTAATTTTAGGATTATGTGGTACAAGGATAATTAGAATATTTAAGAAATATTATTAAACGGGTACCCGCGGGTATGAATATCATCATACCCGCCCCCGCCCCATTTATAAACGGGTAAAAAATTATCCGTCCCCATTATCTGCGAGTACCCATTAGTCTATCCATTTATTATCCATAGCGGATTTTACCCGCAGATACCCGCGGGTGCGAGTATTTTTGCCATCCCTAACCACAAACATGTTTAATATTTATTATCATTTTTTAATTCATTTTTGTTTGACAGCTTATTTTTCAAATCTTTTAAAATGTTGTTAATATTATAATAGCAGTAATAATGATTTATTTTCATTAATAGCCACCTAAACCTGAAATTTATATTGTTGTTGATAGAACCTAACATAATTTAACGGATTTTTGTCTATTCATACATCATTTAATGATACTAATTAAAAAAAATTGTAAAATAGCAAAGAGAAATCACATATAATTAGATATAATAGACTTGCTAAGTTTCACTAATAAATATGAATAAAATAAAATACTAATCATGTGCTCGTATATATTTAGCAAATAGAATTTTCATGTATAGAATAACACATATTTGTTATTTAATTAAAATTTTACAAAATAAAATTGGTTTAAACATTAGATAGACTCCGGTAGAGGATGGACGAAAATTCTGTTCCAAATGAGTACAATTACTATAAAAGACAAAATTCTTCCTCTAAATATTATACTAAAACTTAAATTTAAAATTATTAACTAAGTTGGATTAATTTTTCAATAATTGATCCTGTGCTTCTCGATAAATTTTACAAAATTTAGTATATAAAACACGTTTTAAAAATAACCAAACGTATATACAACTATTTCTTTCACTGATTCACATTCCTTGATTGTTATCTCCTCAAGGTTCATTAGCTTTTTTGCCATGAATGATGTAAATAAATATTGCAGTTGGGGACAGTTGGATATAGACAATTTTTTCAGACAAGAGAAAGATATTGTAGCAGTAGAATGTACTAATGTTGACAAATCAGGACATTCACAAACATATAATTCGTGGAGCTTCTCACTGATTGTGTTCAACCATGATGAGTCCTGTGGTTTGATGGATTGGAGCTCATGTACTTTGTATAGTGTCAATATTCTTAACTGTCCAAGCATCCTGTCCTCACCAATTTTGGGGTTTTCAACAAGGAATATATCAGGACTACTGCGATATTTTATGCTCATTTCTGTTAAATTGGGTGCCTTTCGCAGTATTTCAATTGGCAAGATAGGCTTCTCATTCTCATCAGTGTTAAGGAACAGGGAAATTTTATTTAAATATTTGAGGCCTCCAGTAAATTGCTCTGACCTAAACCTTAAGCTTAATGCCAAAATGTGTTGCCAATCAAGTTTCAATTCCTTCAGGTTGGAAATGACCTAACAATTAAAGGCAAAACAAATCATTTAGAAGATTGTTAGAGAACAATTTTAAATCCTTCTACAAAATCTTGCTGATCTTCCTATTTGTTTTGAATGGTAAATATTAATTTATTTATTTTTATGTTTTCAAGATATTATACATTCATTTTTTTTCCATTTAAGAATTTCTTTATAAAGTTCTAGAAGATTCCTAAGAAGATAAGTAAGAAGACAAAACATTACAGGAAAATTAGAAGATGAAAAGAGAAGAAAGTTGAGTGCAGATTCTATCATGCTTACCTTTAAAAATGACATAGAAGGCAGTCTGTTAATTGAGGTACTACCTTCACGCTTACCCTTTGAGTGTGCACTTTCAAATAACTTCAATTTATTACAATCCAACACAGATAAGTTATTTAACGCAGGACATTCCATAGTGAATGTTTGAGGGTAAAAGTGAGCAAGTTGTGGCAACTCATAAAGGTTCAACATCTTTAAATGAGGGAACACAAACTTTTCTGTTACATTTGTTGCTGTGCCTTCTTCCTTTTCAACAATTTCATGCAACTTATCACAAGATTCTATTTCAAGTTTCTCAAGCTCCCTAAGATTTTTTGCCAGCAAAGCAGGAAATAAAGTTTGCAGAATTTTACAACCGCTAACAACGACCTGTTGCAGATTTTGAAAAATGAGAACTCCTTGACTATTATTTTCCCATACATGCTTCAGCTCCGATAGCCCTTTTAAAGTCAATATCTTCAGGCGGGATGCTGTCTCTATTATCTCAGTGTCATTCATTTCAAAAATTCCCTCTACTTCGTCAGAATCTTGCACTTCCAACTCTTCCAAGTTCTTTAAGAAAGGAAGAATACTAGATGGAATTGCATACTGTAGAGCACACTTGTCCAGCTTCAAAATTACCAAACTTTCAAACACATAATTTTGAAGATCAACATCAATATGTAACTCAGAAATATATACCCCATATCCGGCTTTTAAAATCTCCTGTAAATATTACAATACATTTATCATCAGATATATCAAATTCATTGCTTACTTTGCGCGACTCTGTCTGCCTATAAACAATGTTAGAAATTTACAATCCTTTTCGTTCTAGCATCTTCAAATTGGAAGGAAAAACTAGAGTGAGTAATTATATAAATTGCAAGAAAGTTTAATCCAGGTTGCAAATTCTGATTGTCATTCAATTGATCTTTTATTTAAAGAAATTGAGATCTATTACATGGTTTCAAGAACACATTTCAGAAAAATCCCACTTGAACATAGCTGCTGATTTTAAAATGTACTAATTTTAAAATATTAGACAACTTTCAAAGAACATCCTTTTTAAATTTGGTCAACAAAGAGTAGACCAAATTCTACATTTATAAACAGAAATCATAAAAAGTACTATTCTTTTATCCATAGGAATAGAACACAACTACTGAATAAACTGAACTATACCCCTTGATAGAAAATAAGTATTATATAAATATGAAATAGAGAGAATTATATCATCTTAATAAATTTGTAATTGATTATGAATAGTTTCATAACATATTTTATTTGAATTTTTGTATTACAATTTTTCTCTACAAATAGATATCATGTGAATAAAATTAGATTAAGCTTTGAGAAAAATATACCTCTACAAAACATACAAGTACAAAATAACCCTAACACTTCATATATAATTTTTCAAAGAAAAGCTACAAAATTAATTCATAAGTTACGTACACAAAAATAAAAAGTTGTTAACACGGAAGAACTCACTAATATGATATAAATGATATTTAGAGAATAAATTATCAGTAAATAATAAATGCTAATAGATTTAATATATTATAAAACATTGTTGAAGACATTAAAATCATGCAATGCTAATAGAGGAGACTTCATCAATTGATTGAAACGAAGTTCTTACCTGTCGTTGGAACATCTCTCTTATAGTGGAATTAAGGTCTTGGCGGAAGAACAAATCATCATTTGGATCCAATGACTTCTGAACTCCCTGAAAGGATTTTGCATCTATGGCTCCTTTGGAAAAATTCTTCAAATTGGGGCATTGCCATAAATGCACTTTTATCAAAGACGATAATTGGAGGGTATCATTGCCCGAATAAAAATCTGTAAGACTTGGTAAAGAATTGAGAACAATGGTGTTGAGCCGCTCAAATTTAATAGCTTCTGATGTTGAAACTCCCTGTTTAGCAATTATTTCTTTCACTGATTCACATTCCTTGACTGAGATCTCCTCAAGGTTCATTAGCTTTTTTGCAGCTAATGATGTAAACAAAAATTGCAAATGAGAACATTTGGATATAGACACTTTTTTTAGACAAGAGAAAGATACTGTAGCAGTAGAATGTACTAATGTTGTCAAATCTGGACATTCAAAAACATTTAATTCTTGGAGCTTCTCACAGATTGTGTTTAACCATGATGAGTCCTGTGACTCGATGGATTGGAGACCAAGTACTTCGTATAGTGTCAATATTCTCAACTGTCCAAGCAGCTTGCTCTCACCAATTTTGGGGTTTTTAGCAAGGAATATCTCAAGACTATTGCTATATTTTATGCTCATTTCTGTTAAATTGGGTGCTTTTTGGAGTATTTCAATGGGCAAGATAGGCTTCTCATTCTCATCAGTGTCAAGAAACAGGGAAAAATTATTTAAATATTTGAGGCCTTCGGCAAATTGCCCTGACCTGAACCTTAAGCTTAATGCTGAAATTTGCTGCCAATCAAGTTCCAATTCCTTCAGGTTGGAAATGACCTAACAATTAACAGAAGAAAAAAAATGAAAAACTGTGAATTAGAGAATAATTTAAAATTTTAAAATCCTCCTTCAAGATCTTACTAATCTTCCTATTTGTTTTGAATGGTAAATGTTGATTTTGTTAATTTTTTTTAATATATTTTCAAAATATTAAATATATTTGTTTTTCATTTAATACATTTTGTATACAGTTTCAAGAAGATTCCTAAGAAGATAAGTTAGAAGACATAACATCATTACAGTTGAAATCGAAGATGAATAGAGAAGAAAGTTGAGTGCAGATTCTATCATGCTTACCTTTAAAAATGAGGTAGGAGGCAGTCTGTTAATTGAGGTACTACCTTCATGCTCTCCCGTGGAATGTGCTCTTTGAAATAACTCCAATTTATTACAATACAACACAGATAAGTTATTTAAGGCAGGACATTCCAGACTGAATGTTTGAGGGCAAAAGTAAGTAAGCTGTGGCAAGTCATAAAGGAGCAACATCTTTAAATGAGGGAACACAAACTTTTCTGTTACATTTGTTGCTATGCCTTCTTCCTTTTCAACAATTTCTTGCAATTTATCACAAAATTCTATTTCAAGTTTCTCAAGTTCCTTAAGGTTTCTTGCCAAGGAAGCAGGAATTAAAGTTTGCAGGTTTTCACAATCACTAACAACAATCTGTTGCAAATTTTGAAAGATGGGAACTCCTGGACTATTCTTTTCCCAAACATGTGTCAGCTCCGATAGCCCTTCTAATGTCAATATCTTCAGCTGGGATGCTGTATCCATTATCTCAATGTCATTCACTTCAAAAATTCCCTTTACTTTGTCAGAATACCGTACTTCCAACTCTCTTAAGTTCTTTAAACAAGGAAGAATACCAGATGGAATTGCATATGGTAGAGTACACTTGTCCAGCTTCAAAATTAACACATTGCTCAACCATTTACTTTGTGAAACAACCTTACCATGCCAGTATGCTCCAAGCTCATGATCATCAGAAAAACACTCCTTGTCCACAGATTTAAAAAATTCCTGTAAATTTTACAAAAAAGTTTATCATCAGATATATAAACAACGTTACATATTTGCAATGTTTTTCATTTTAGCATCTTGAAATTGAGAGGAAAAACTACAGCACATTATAAAATGGATTAGAGTGGAATCTAACTTGCAAATCAAGATCATCTTACGATAATTTATCTTTCATTTCTTGTAACTGAGGTCAATTTAACTTGGTTTCAAGACATTTTTCAAAAATTTCTAGCTAAAAAATTGTTAGGTTCTTGACAAGGTCCGAAAGAGAAAGGGAATTATTCGTCCCTGAGTTTATTGAATCTTTTGAAAGAAAATGATTACACAAAGGAGGCTACTCCTTTCACACTGGAATCAGTCCAGTTGTTCACTTACAATAGTAATTCCTTACCCCCTCAGCCTAAACAACCAAACTATTTAAAGAAGACTGAAAACTAACTAACAGTAACCGTGAACCTAACTAATAGGTCAAAGGATCAAATAGATTTAATTAATTCCTATTTGTACCCTTCTTCCTATAATACACTCTTAACCCTCTATTTATCTCCTGTGGTTCCTGATGTCTAACAAAAATACATTTTAATTTTAAAATATTATCGAATCAAAATAGCTTTCCCTTTAAATTTAAAACTAACTAAATGTGCTATGCTTTTCCTTTTGTTGCGTAATTATTAAACTATTTGGGTGATATTTCTAAAATCTTGGAAGAAGCCCTATAAGCATTAATCAGTCATGCAAGAAACCAGAATTTTTTCTTATTTTTCTTATTAGACTTATGTCTCTGTGCTCTTAGCAGTGGATCCTATGCATATATCCTTTTAGACTTCAGTGCGGGATTTTAACCACAGGTCTTAAACATCTTTCTAGACTTTGGTTCTAATGATTTTTAACCACAGGTTTTATGCGTCTTGTTGACTTGAGTTCCTAACTTCCTATGCCTGTAGCTATGAAGACCCAATGCTGGCAAAAGCACTTGGCCTTCGCTTAGGTTAGTGTTTTGCAATGCATGGACCTGTAATTTTGCCATTTGGAAGTACAAGCAAACTTCCTGAGTACTGCATAGAAGGAGAAGACGACTTCAACTAATCACAGTGAGATTTGAAGAGTGTAGGAAACCCCTCCATGTAATCATCTACTGTATATTGACTCTAGTTCATAAAATGTCAATCATCATTCACAAAAAAGAAAAAAAAATCTTGTAATGATTGGCTAACTATCTATTCCTTTAACAGGAAGGTGAATAAATTTGATATATTGAGTGGCCTAATCTAATCCAATAGAAAAGTTCATGGTTAACTAGTTTTAATAATATCAAAATCAAAGATATTAGAAACAAATGTTGATATGAAAATATTGTAAAAGGAAAAATCGTATGTATTAAGCTAATTTTTAAGTATGATATAAAAGATATTTAGAGAGTAAATATTAGTAAATACTAATAAATTTAATATACAATGCAAAAAGCTGTTGAAGACATTCAATTCACGCAAGCCTACAAGACTTGTTCAATTGATTCAAATGAAGTTCTTACATGTTGTTGGAACATTTCTCTTATAGTGGCATTAAGATCTTTGTGGAAGAACAAATCATCACTTGTATCCAGCGACATCTGAACTCCCAAAAAGGATTTTGCATCTATGGCTCCTTGGGAAAAATACTTCAAATTGGGGCATTGCCATATATGCACTTTTATCAAAGATGGTAATTGCAGAGTATCACTGTCTGAATAAAAACATATAAGACTTGGTAAAGAATCGACAACAATGGTGTTGAGCCGCTCAAATTTAATGGCTTCTGAAGTTGAATCTCCCTGTTTAGCAACTATTTCTTTCACTGATTCACATTCCTTGATTGTTATCTCCTCAAGGTTCATTAGCTTTTTTGCCATGAATGATGTAAATAAATATTGCAGTTGGGGACAGTTGGATATAGACACTCTTTTCAGACAAGAGAAAGATATTGTAGCAGTAGAACGAGAACAATATTTTTTATGTCTGAATGATAACAATTTCTAAATTGTTAAATTAAAACAAGAATTTGCAAAAACTCGCAAACTTATCATGAAAGTTGTAATTACTAAACAAAATTCTCTTCCTAATTTTGGGTTTAAAACTATATTATTTCTGCATCCACTATTTTGTCAAAGTTTTGTATGCTTCTTTTATTTATTTTATTCCACTGTATTAAGAAATCTATTTATTTATTTTTTTTAAGTTTTTGGTTCACAATTTCTTGCGGGATCTACCACTTGTTGGAAAGTATGATATGATATGCTGTCATGGAAATTCTGTTATAATGATAATTGTCACGAGATTATCAACAACTTGAAGATCTTGAAATGTTTTTGGTGTTTCATATTATGTATTTAACAATTTGTTGGTGAAGGGAAATATTCTTTAAAAGAAGTGGTTAGTGTTTAGATTTTCCGTTCTTGTTTTGTTTTGGTATCAATACCATCAAAAACATAACTAATCATTATAAGGTATAGTGTTTTGTATTTACTAAAATTTAATTATAGATATGTAAATTAGATTATTCATTATAAAATTAAGAATATATAAATGATTTTTTTTATTAATAAGAAGCATCTAGCTTTTATAAGAGCAACTCCATGATAATTGTTTGAGTTGTGTAATAATAAAATATTATTTTAATTAGTAGGAGACATGTTATTTTAGATTATTTGAAATTAAAAATAATTACTTATATAAATAATTATTTCTTGTGAGTAGTATATTATTTAACATTTGTGTGTACATGTAAGAGATAAATATTAGATATTGAAGAGAGAAAAAAAAAATTTGTAAGTTCAGTAATTTTTATAAAAACTTTGTATTAGAGTAAAAATTCAGGTAATATGTATAGACTCACTTTAAAATAAAAATAGGATTATTTATTTGAAATGCATTAGAGATGTTATTAAAAGTTAAAACAATCACACACAAAAGTTAGATAATTAATATATTACATGTTAATAAGAAACAAATAGGTTTTACAAAGATTTTTTATGAATTTAGATATCTCAATCTTAAATGTTAAACTTTTTAACAAACTAAATATTCTATTTCATTTAGTTTTGGTCAAAAAATTAAAACTTCACCTGTGATAATGTAAACACTACTACATTATTTTTTTTAGCAACATTTTTTTCTTACATTTATTAAAATGTTATTATATATAAAATAAATATGTTATTTTGTAACATTTTTTTTTTGAAAAATGTCATTATAGATAGAGTAAAATTTTTATTTTAATATTATTTTTTCATTTATTTTCAAAATCGAAGTCTCATATCGAGTATAAAAATTGTCACATAGGTTATTTTGCAACATTTTTTTTAATGTTACTATAGATAAGTAACTTTTTTTTTTACTTTCTAATTGCTTCTAAAACCAAAGTATCAAGTAAAAAAAAATTATATTTTTCTCTTCTCTAATTGTTACCCATAATTAAGGTCTCACATCGAATAAATGAATGACTCATAAATAATATATATAATCATAT